GTTGTTATTGCTGATGTGTTATATATGTATATATATAAGAATTTTTTTTATAAGTATTTGAGGTACGATATACGAAAAAATTATATAGAATCAGATGTGTGTATATTTTGTAAAACATTTGACGCAATATTTTATTTTGAATTTATTCACACTATATTAAGTTAATTATATTAATAAATAATATTAACGAACGTCAATATTTTTCGTTACATAAAATAAAAATAGAAAACTACTTTTATAACTTTTATAAATAATAATAACAATAATAATAATATGTACAAACCGAAGGCATTCATTCATAATGAAATATGTACAAACCAAAGGCATTAAGCCTAATGTTTCAAGAGAAACAAAAACAGAGACCATTCACACAAGAATGTCTAAACTCCACAGATCAAACTACATCCAAGAACTAAAACAACAGATGACCAAACCAAACCAAAACCATATTAGAGGCAGATAACCTGATGACCTCCAAAGGCAAAGACATAAACATAGATCAATCACAGACCACCTAGAAAATGAACAAACAACAGAAAAAAGGAAGGTGACACCACTGAACCAAAGAGGACCTAGCAATCATCCATCTCTTCTCTGTTATTCTGCTTTCTGATTACAAGCTTTGAATTCCATCCAGTCAGTCTGTACAGCTCTAAGAATAGCAATGTCAGGCATCCAAATAGCTTGAAACTTCCAGAGGTTCCTGGCCTTCCATAACCACTAAAGTAAATAGATGGTTAGCTCAATTCTAGTTTCTGATATTTCTTTTTTATCTACTGAACAGACATTACCCCACCAGAGCCTGAAAGTTGTTGCCACTTCTTTTTCTTCCCATTGAACAACAGACAGTTTCCATATCCTCTTAGCTCTGTCACAATGCAACAGGATGTGTTCTATGGACTCCCAGCCTTCACCACAACAAGAACATTTGGGATCTACCTCAAGGGCCCTCTTTTTCAAGTTTAGGCAAAGATGGAGAGAATTGTTGTAACATCTCCATATGAAATGTCTGAGTTTGCCTTTCACTTTCATTCTCCTACTTTTGTTCCTAACCTTCTTATTTTTCTGAGCAGAATCACTCCCCTCAGCTATATCAAGATCCAAAATCTTATTTAGCACTAAATGAGAGTAAGAACTAGCAACATAAAATTTGTCTTTGCTATCCAATACTAATATCCATTTATAATAAGATTATTGTAAAATATATTTCCATTTTATAGCACTAAATGATTTTGCATTTTATTTACTTTTCGTAATAAGATTATTGTAAAATATATTTCCATTTTATAGCACTAAATCTTATTTAGCACTAAATGATTTCCATTTTATAGCACTAAATCTTATTTAGCACTAAATGATTTCCATTTTATAGCACTAAATCTTATTTAGCACTAAATGATTTTGTATTTTCTTTACTTTTCATAATAAGATTATTGATATATTTCCATTTTATAGTATGTTAAGTAAACTATAAAACCTTAGAATCCAAACTAAAAAAATATTTGGGTGTTTGAGAGGGTTATGAGGCCTGCACGTCTAATTGTCCAAGCAGCAGTCCAACATTGGAAGGCTTTCATGGAGAGTAGAGGGTCAGACCTACAGGAACTATCTGATGCAGTGGGCTAGGATGGAGGATCAGTGGCTTGTCTCATTGTTTCCTTTTTCCTTTCTTGTTTATGGTTTCGAAGGAATAAGGACCTAGTTGTGTGTAACTGTTTTACTCCTTTGGTTGTGAGTTTTTTGTTTTTCGGCTTGGTTTGTTTTTGCTTCTAGACCGCTGGTGTGTGGCTCTCTCTTTTCCCGACCATTCATTTGTATCTGGTGTTTCTGGACTTTGTTCTAGACCGCTGGTGTGTGGTTCTCTCTTTTCCCGACCATTCATTTGTATCTGGTGTTTCTGGACTTTGGTTTGTTATTTTATGAGCATATCTATCGTTTGAGGAAAAAAAAATAAAAAATCTCTTGATTATAGAAGAGATTTATTTTTTGACACTTGCTGAATAAAAGTTGTTTAATTATCATAAAAAATTAACTTATAATGCATAATGGCTTAATAACTTTAGGATCACTATTGATTAATTGGTTAGTTACATAAACAAACGCACAATGTGTTACTTTTCTCTGTATAGCCATTTTTTTTTTTTTTTTTTTTTTAACAAATTAGTTGTTATTGCATGCTGATGTGTTATATATGTATATATATAAGATTATTTTTGTTTTTCTAAGTATTTGAGGTACGATATACCAAAAAATTGTATAGAATAAAATGTGTGTATATTTTATAAAACATTTGACGCAATATTTTATTTTGAATTTATTCACACTATTTTAAGTTAATTATATTAATAAATAATATTAACAAAAATCATATATTTTTCGTTACATAAAATAAAATAAGAAAACTAATTTTATAACTTTTGTAAACAATAATAATAATAATAATAATAATATTATTATTATTATTATTATTATTATTATTATTATTATTATAATAATAATATTATTATTATTATTATTATTATTGTTATTATTATTATTATTTGACAACAAGTTTTAGAATAAAATAAAAAATGAATATTATATGGTGAAAAAGAATAAGTAAAATATTATATTTCTTATATCAAGAAACAATTATATATATTAAAATAAAATTTATATTAGTACAAACGTGTTAACGGTTTACCTACATGTCAGTGCTAGCAAACTCAGGTTTTACGTTTCGGCTAAAAAAAACTTTGATTAAAGGCAAAATTGCATATAAAAGCACCACCTTTCATGTTTTTGCAATTTAATCACCACCTTTGCAATTTAGCAAATTAATACACCACTTTAGTTATTTCTTGCAATTCGAATCACAGGGCCCAATTTCGGGCATGTTCTAGTGACGTGGCATTTTTGTGGTGACGTGGTGTTTACACGTGTCAATGACGTGGCATCTTTGGGCTGACGTGGCAGTCTATTTCAATTGGAAAAAAAAAATGTATGCTTTACAATAGGAGGATTCGAACTCTAGCCTCCAAAGGAGAAATATAGCTATGCTACCAACTCACTCATCCATGTTAGTTAACATATTCAATAAAAATTTATATATAAAGGATTTGCGTATGAATAAATCATATTAAATTTAGAATAATTAATTATATTTTATTAAATTAATTAAATATAAAATTTAATAAAATAAATTAAATAAAAATAAAATAAATTAAGATAATTAAAATATAGAATTTTATTAATTCATATTTTGTGTTAGAGTAAACCATATTAATAATATTTAATAAATAAGATTTTTATTATTTATTATTTCATAATAAGTTATTTTGTTTATTATTTTCTTTTATTTTATTTGAATTCACCTTTTTTATACTTCATCATCTTATGTTATATTATTTTTATTATATTTTATTATATATAACTTATTATGAAATAATAAATAAAAATAAATAAAAATCTTAAATAAATATAATAAATTAAAAAATATAATTTACGTAAATAAAATGTTAAATAATCGTAAATGAATAATAAAACAAAAACTGTTATTTGTATATAAAATATTAAAAATCTTAAATGAAATAATAATTTATTATATAATAATAATTATTTATTATAAATTTATTTTAAATAAATAAATAAAAATATTAATGAATATAATATTATTAATACGATTCACTCTAACACAAAATATGAATTCAAA